TTTTTTAATTTATAATTTACAATAACCGACTTAATTTTCTCAATATTTTTAGTTTTCATTTCATTTCTCTCAAATTTCTTCCATCAAAAGTTACAAACACAATCTTTGACCGGAAATTAATGGGCACCACATTCCACCCCGCAAGCAAAAGGGTTGCGTGCCTATGAGTGCAAGAAGCCCATTAATTATTAAGCCCAAAATAAAGCTGCGGGGCCCAATGGCTATATGGGTAATTAATTAATCATTAATCACCGCTAGGGGGATTTTTATTTGGTCCGGTGTCCTGACGTAGCTCTATGTTCAGACGCCAGTGAAATGGTGCCACGTGCTCTTACTTTTTATCGCACGGTCGACGACCCGACCCGGATCGGACCCAGAATGTTATGTATTGGCTGATTTGTGCAGACCGATGTATTGCTAGGTATTGCTACATATTGCTTGACAATAACGAGAAATATCATTCTATCAAGACCAATGTCAAGCAATACTCTGGTATTGCTAGGTATTGGTCTTGACAGAACTGTCAAGACCAATACCTAGTAATACCGAGCAATACCTAGCAATACGCGAACATAGCAACACCGGGTTCCGATCCAGGTCGGGTCATCGGGCCGCGCGATAAAGAATAAAAGCACGTGACAACATATTATTGGCCTACGGATGTAGAGCTACATCCGGTGTCCGCCCCTAATAATTGTTCCCGCTGGGGCGCTTAATTAACCCGACATCGACAAAAGGCCATGAAGGGATTAGCGGTGGATAAGGGATGAGAGGACCTAAACACAAATAGATTTGGAGGGATTTAAATTAATTAATTATGTAATAGTCGATTAGTTTAGTGAAAGATAAGAAGGAGAGAGAGTTTAAGATTCGCTTTTAGTACATCCAGCCAGCTGAGAGCTTTCGGGAACGACGCTCGGACATTGTCGGTCGGTACGATGTCCCTTTCATTTTTTATTTGATGTTTTTTTTATCAGAAATATATTTTTTAGCATAAATTGATATAATTTTATATTATTTTAAATTATATCGATTGAATAATAAGATTTTGATCGATCAAATTAATTTTAATGATAAATTCATGCACATTATATATACATAAAATATTTTATTTGGCATCGTAAGCTCTTAGCTAATAGTTTAAGATTCTATTTGACATAACTTTTTATTATTTTTATTTTTTCAAAATTTAATTATAATTTTTATTTAGTTATTCTTTTTTCACTATTTTTAATCATTTTTATATTCGGAAGTTGTTTGTTATAATGAATTTCAAAAATAATAATTTTTTCACAAAATATTTACAATCACATTTATAAAAAACTACAGCATAAAAAAAATGCATATATATATATATATATGGAATTGGTAATTATTTATTAAAAAAGCATCAAAAAAATGCATATATATATATATGGAATTGGTAATTATTTATTAAAAAAATTTGTGATGAAAATTTACTTTTTCAACTAAAGTAACTATGATTTTATTTGGGACAATATTTTTATTGCTTTAAAAACCTACTTTTTAGTACAAAATCTCGTAAAAATAGGAAAAAATCACGAGTCTAAAATTGGTTGAATTATTCTGTGCGGACAACGAACAGTGGGAATCGTTCGGTTTGTCTCCATGAACAGTAAAAGCGTAGCTCACTACGCTTTTGCTATTCAAGGAGACAAAACTGGTTGTTTTTCCCGTCCAGCATTCGCACATAATAATCTCTTCTAAAACTATCCCAAAAGAAGCTGACAATCGTTGACTAGTACTTTTTTATTTTGCGTTCAAAAAATTTTGTACTAAAAAATTGATATATACACCAATAAAAAAAAGCTGTCTCAAATAAAAACTAAATTATTTTTTCTATAATAACTTTATCCCAATTAAAAAGTGAAACCTTATTCACTGTGTTATAGATTTAGGTTTCATTCAGTGAAAAAGTTAATGAAATAAAAATACTTATTTTTATTAATTAGTTTTTAATAAATCTATTGATTAGTTAGTACAGCAAAGCAGGTTTTATTTAATTATTTTTGCTATGAACACAGAGTACATTAGCTGCATGTGTTCCTTGTCCTTCAAACAAACAAAAACAATAATTCTGACATGGCTGTGCTTCCATAATTTGGCATTAAAATTTTGAAAAAAAATACTTATTTTCTTATTTATTCATGAAATATAATTATTAAAAATTATAAATTTAAGAACAAGAATCAATAAGTTTGGAAGCATAGATAACATTTTTCATAAATGAGTGATACGTCTTCATACCTATCATGAAGCAAAGAGCTGAAACAACGAAGAAGAATATGAACCAGAAGAGAAAGCTTGCAGCAGATCAGAAGGCAGAAAAGCCAGTGAAAATAAGAGAAAGCAGACACTTAACTTTTAAATAATAAGATTAAGGCTTCACTAGAGACGGCAATCATACTGCTTCTTAAAGCATTTATTTAATACAAAATTTAAAGTTTTTGTATTAAAAAAATACTTTAAGAAGTAGTAATAAAGCCATCACAAATGAAGCATAAGACTTCGTTTGAAATGGCGTTCTTACTGCTTCTTAAAGCAACCTTTTAGTACTAAATTTAAAATTTTTGTACTAAAATATACTTTATGAAGCAGTAAGAAATCCGTCCAATAGCTAAATTTCTTACTATTTCTTAAAATAACTTTTTAGTACAAAAAATAAATTTTTACATCATAAAACTACAATAAAAAAGCACTCCCAAATAAAGCCTAAAACTACAACAGAACACAGAAAAGCATGCAAATATAGAATGCATGAATTAACGCATGAAGCTTGGCGTGAGAATCTCGTGACATTTGTTTCTAACATGACACAACGTCTTGGATGGAAATAAAAAATAAAATAGAAATAAAATAAATGAGTGAATATATATATTTATATTATGGGAAGGGGATATACGTGAAAAGGTTGGAGTAGCTCCAGTAGAAGATAAGATTAGAGAGTCGTCTTAGATGGTTTGGGCACATAAAACGGCGGCCTCCCGATGACCCAGTTAGGAGAGTAGATGTATTAGATTTGACTTATATTAAGAAAGGTAGAGTCAGACATAAAAAGATTTAGTTAGAAAATATTAGGAATGACATTTCTTTATTAGATTTAAACGATAGGACACAATGGAGAAAAATGATTTATGTAGTCGACCTCATGTAGTGGGATAAAGACTTGATGTTGTTGTTGTTGTTGGAGGGGATATGCTAATTCTGTTTTTATTTTTTTATTTTCGTATTATCATTTATGTTTATATCTAGTTTCTTAGTTGTGCGACTTTGTTGAAGGTGAGAAGGGAAGATCTATGATGTGAAATCAGCTTTTTGAGATCAAATGACTTATTTTACCATAACTGAAAATATTGTTCTTCTTCTCATCATGCTTTAGGTGTTCTATTTTTTAGTATCAAAGCAACTATGACGAATATGATCAATAACTTCTTGCATTGTAAGGGGGTAAAAAAATATGCAGCTCATTTTGATCGGTTGATTGAGAGCTTTGACTATTATCCAAAAAAATTTGAATTTGAAACTTACGTATGTGACGTGTTTGAGTTTTTTTTGACCTGTTGGTTTGACTATATTTTTATGCTAAAGTGGGCGTCTTCATTGACAATTCCAATTGCTCTCTTCCTACTGGTGATGAGAATCTCTACTTATCAACCCTCCTTCCTTACATGCTCTTGGATGGGTAAAACCTTCTTCTACATCAAGATTATACATCTTTTATTGGTCTCCCACCGCTCCTTGTTCATTGGAAGACAATTATCTTGTTTAATGGTTTTGTTATTAACTATGCTTTAATTACTAGCATGGAAGGTTGAGAATTAAGAGCTAAATATTAGCTATGTATTTTGTGGATGTGGGATTGTAGTTAGGGCTACAAATGAACTGAGTAAGCAGCAAGTTATTTATATTTAGCTCGATTGCAGCTTGTTCATAATTGTTTAAGTAATCAAATAAGTTTGAACTCTTTTTTAAATTCTGGACTAGTAAATAAACAAATTTGAATAGATATGAATTCAGCTTGTTTATATTCATAAACAATAACAATTTAAGTTTGTGAACAAGCTCGATATAAAACTCGTTAAGAAACTTGGCTAAATCTTTATTTTTTCTATTTTCACTTAATTTTTTAGTTTTATTATGATAATTTAAAAAAAAAATCATTTTTTACGTTATACTTTTTTAATAGAATGAATATTTTTTTACATTTTATAGTCTCGTGGTGCTTATACTATGCTACCGAAAAGGCAAAGATTTTATTTGGAATAAATTTTTTATTATCTTTTAAAATATTTTTTTATTAAAACACTTATATTATTACTACCGAAAAAAAAAAAAAATTCTTTTTTAAAGAGACCATAGTGTTCTTA